CCGAATAAAACTTTGCGTCGACAAAAAGAAAATGCTCTGACCCTAACCCTAAGGGGCCCGTCTTGCTTCGGCCCAGTCCCACTGGGTACCCAAAAAGTCCCAAGTAGGCCATGACGGAGTCCCAACCAAGAAGAATCCCACATGGACCTTTCTGCCTCTACCAAATGGGAAAACGAATTTCAACGTCACAGAGAACCAACAGTCTACATCTTTTCAAAGACAAAAAGACAATGCAATGTAGAAAGATATGGCGTCCAAAGCAAGATACCTCATCTCTTCATCCATCACGTGAGAAAGCAGATTGCATACTCGTACTCACAATCAAGACCACAGAGGAGTAGGGAAAGAAACCCAAAATAACCCCAACAGGACAATCAATACCATGCACACACATACATGGGCATCCCGTAAGTCCATGACACTTACCTCTCATATATGGTCCTCCTCACCCCTTTAACGCTACCCCTACGAGGAGGGTATGACTCCAACACCAAAGTGCACCGCCGGATCCCCCGCCCATGCTGAAGCAACTTGCAGTCTGTAGATGCAGAATGGTTGCTTTCCCTCAAGCTCGCCTACTTGAGGGAAGCCCTAAAGTCGCCAAGTGTCTCCCTTTAATCAGATTCCACGTGTGAGTGCCTCTCGCTGTAACCTCTCCCAAATTGTAGCACGAAGTCTTCTCGAAGTGTCTCGCCACCCCAATCTTACTCTCAAGCAAACTGGTTAGGTTTAGTGTTGACCCAACACGACCTAACCACGTGGGGGCAGTTTCCCTTAGCCACACTGCCCCACTGCCCTCACGACCAACCCTAACCCTAAGTGGTGCCCTCACGACCAACCCTAACCCTAAGGGCAGCAAAGTCAACTCTTGCGAACAAGTAGAATCCGCTCTAATAACAATGTCATGATCCCGGGCAATTTTGAAGCACATATTCATGAGAAAGTACAATTCCGTCCAATTCCGTCCAATTCAAGAACTTACGGTACAATGGCATAAAGTTAAAAACCAGCTAGATTTGTTCCATACAGTAAAGACATAACACAGGCTATCCATCAATTCTCGGGGGAATGGTTGGGCAGTGAGAACGGGGGCTGGATAGCATCCGTCCGATGGGAGGGCAGGCTCGCCCAGAAGGACAATCAGGCGGAATTCAAGAGAGACTACTATATGCATTTTAAGGATTGGACTRAGGTGGACCAGGACATCCCGCTGAGACCACCCACARAATTTCYGGATCCATYCCCGCCCCACCGACTGGCAATGGTTGATATGCAATGGTRTGGAGCAGAGTGAGCGGAGCGAGAGGAGCGAGCAAGCCCGCGGGCAGGCCCACGGGCTGATGGGCAGGGGGTGAGAGCTAGCCGCTAGGGGAACAGGTATAATCTGGCAGTCGGAGGCAGACCGAAGAGGTGGCACTTCAAGCAGTAACAAATGAGGTGGTGCAGAGGAGAAAGGAGGGCGCGGGGTCAGACGAGGAAAGGAGGAACTACATCCCGATATCAGTGGATCATAGGAATGAACTTAGCGGACCAAATGACTGGGGACAAGGATAGCTGGGGAAGGGAGGAACCAGGGTGCAAAAGTGAGTATTTGGCGCCTGTAACAGGGCGAAGAGGTTCGCTCCCCTGCTCAGTCAATCCTATGGACTGGCAGGCATTTCCTGATTTGCTCCAAATCAGTCTGTATATGGGACGCTGGACCCGTTTTCCAGCAGGTGATGCTCCCCACCAATAGATGGAGACTCTCCCAGGTGCTAGTGGTGTCTGCTCTTATCAGCACCGCTAACACTGCCAGGGGCGTTTCCAAAAAAAAAA